GGTCAGAATGGTGTAATGGTAAATGCATTCAAAATATCATTCGAGTTATAAATTTAAATTGTGCTTTTGGATAACACAAATTACTATTCAGTACTGTTGCTTATCTTATCCGATACTTGGTTAAATAATAGTCCTTTGGCATTTAAACATAATTTGCTCTGGCTCACTGTTATGATTTAAGTTTAGCAAATGTTTCTTTGTTTTATCCTCTATTGTCAATAACTACTTTTTCCCCTGATGTTATGATGTCTGGTCTTCATATCTTCACCTTGATCTTGTATGCATTTTTCAATTGGTATGTATGTATGTGTATGTATGTATATATATATGTCGTACCTAGTAGCCAGAACGCACTTCTCAGCCTACTATGCAAGGCCCAATTTGCCTAATAAGCCAAGTTTTCATGAATTAATTGTTTTTCGACTACCTAACCTACCTAACCTAACTTTTTCGGCTAACTAACCTAACCTAACCTATAAAGATAGGTTAGGTTAGGTAGGGTTGGTTAGGTTCGGTCATATATCTACGTTAATTTTAACTCCAATAAAAAAAAATTGACCTCATACATAATGAAATGGGTAGCTTTATCATTTCATAAGAAACAAATTAGAGAAAATATATTAATTCAGGAAAACTTGGCTTATTAGGCAAATCGGGCCCTGCATAGTAGGCCGAGAAGTGCGTTCTGGCTACTAGGTACGACATATATAAATATAATATATATATATATATATATATATATATATATATATATATAATTACAGTACTGTACATACTGATATTTTATATTTTGATTGATTTATATAGTACAGTACTGTACTGATATTTTGAAGAAATCCTCACCATAATTTAAAAATAATTTTTTTCATTAGAAGTTTTTGCCAATGCTCTATATAAATTGGTTCTTTACTTGTATCATATTATGCACTGTATGTCCTTATTAATTTGTCAATGCAAGTGTAAGACTTTATTTGGCAGTTAATACACTAGTGGATACTTTTATGCTGTACATGATTTATTTGTTTTTTTGTGTGAAATGCGACAAACAATCCCATATAATTACTATTGCTGTTTAGAGCTGAACACCAACAATTAATGAGGGTAGTCATTTTTAGTTTTGTTATAGAAGGTGACACTGAAAATCTTTGAGAGTTGAGCCTTAAAAGGTATCAAAAGGTACTTTTTTTTTTTATATTTTAGGCAGGAGTAATTGTGGAAGGTATTTTGGAACTACAAATACACAGTTCAGCATTCACCTAATTATAAGCATAGCTCAAAAGTTACATAGGGAATGTTAGCAAATCAGATTTTCAAGTGGTATGGTAATTAAATATATAAGTTGGCAAGTATATGGGAAAATAGTCAGATGGCCTGGCCCTCCAGCAATAATGAGGATTGGGTGACCTATGAGGAAAGTGGCCACTTCCTCAGCCTGCAGTAGCTTATGGATTAGGACCCATGAGTAGACCAAGTAGCAGCAACACAGTCCATGGCTCGGGAGACCTTTTGAAAATGCCTCCGAGATGCGGTTCCAAGGGTAAGTGAGTACATATGAAACTACAAGCCTCTGCATGGTAATCTTGCTTGAGTATTGTGCATGATCCTCCTACAGGTATGCTGTAACTCTTGGTATTGAATCCCTAATGCCCATACTAAATGCATGCTTCCTTAATCAATTTATGGAATATTTTCTCCACGGAATGATTTATGTATAATTTTACATTAATCTCTTGATATATCCAGTTTATTTTTCTTTAATCTTTACGGAATAGATTATCTTATTGAATATAATACCTTTGTTCTTCTATTTTGTTTGTTTTCTCTTTAAGTGGCATATATTTTATATATCAATATGTCTTTTCTAAATCTGTATGCTTGTATATAATATCTTTGGATACATATGATGAACATAATGATCTATAAATATTTTCATTGAAGGTAACAGGTACAGCTTGAATTTGTTGTGTGTGGTTATAGAAATATGATGCCACATCATACTCATGCACATAATATTTCATGTGATATATTTTAAAGGTTGTGAATGTATAATGATGAATTGGAAATAATGCTATACTGTTTTATAAATGAAGTTGTCAAGACTATCAGTGTACATTATATTGCCAAAGAAAGAACATGTCATGTATGTCATTACAGGATTTTATGTTAGGCAAAATCATTTTAGGTAAGCTACCCCTTTTGTTCTTCTGAAGCTATTTTGGAAGAAATAGTTTATTCAAACATTTTCTATAGTTAGTCTTATTTTTATAGAGATGATGCTTCCTTTAAATTATTAATCCATATGTGTTTTGCTGTTATTGTTTCCTGTTGCAAGTTTTGATAGTTACCTCTTAAGTAATACTATATTGCATTCTCACTACGATGTGAATGTAACTTATGGTATCTGCAGTGCAACTTATATACAAAAAAAAAAATGACAAATGTTTATTTGGCATAGGACCATTGTAATGTAGGGGTAAGGTGGCACAATAGCCATGCCAACTAAATTTGTTTTCCCACTAGACACAAGGGGGATCATTGCTACAACATGGCATTTGTTGTTCATAATGGCAAAATGTCCATTTAAAGATTTAGAGTAAAAATGACTAATGTGCCTAGTGATTTTGATTGTGTTTAAATTGTGTACTGATTCTCCATTGCCAGGCCATAGTAGATGATGTCATCCCTCTCAATGCTTACAGCCTATTGTAAGCAACACTTGAAAGCTTAGTTAATGATACAACATTTATGCCATCAATTGAAAGTTACAGTGGTTAAATATGTATATATTGAACACAAGCAGGCGATGAGTCACAATAACGTGGCTAAAGTATGTTGACCAGACCACACACTAGAAGGTGAAGGGACAACAACGTTTCGGTCCGTCCTGAACCATTCTCAAGTCAAGTCGAGAATGGTCCAGGACGGACCGAAACGTCGTCGTCCCTTCACCTTCTAGTGCGTGGTCTGGTCAACATATTGAACACAATTTCCTGACTATACCAAATAGTTGCTTCCTTATGCAGGAGCCTGTTACCCTATGTACTTAACAGCTTCCAGCCAGGTTTCAGGTCAACCTTCATCATCTCAACACAGTGACAGTCATCTCAAACTGCTACCACTTTGATATTAGCACTTGGCAGTACTAATGTCAAACCAACGTGTATTCCCAACTGTAAACATGGCCCCGCTCAGCATTGCATAAAATGTTTACAATCATTTTGCATTTTCTAAGTTATTTGTTGTCTTATAACTACAGATTTGACGTCTTAATGTTCACAAATTAATTCTCTTGAGTACAGTAGTAAAAAAATATATTCGTAAAGATTGTGTTCAACAGCGATGAATATATGAATGTTTGTCTCTAGTGAGGCCTCATGGATGAGAGGAAGCTCAGTGGTTAGTCCACTCATGTCCCAGATATGATCTGTCTACAAAATAATGGCAATTTTTGTAAGTTTTCTTGTGGATGCAATTAGAATAGCCCAAGAACTGAAAACTGTTGAAAACTGAAAATTTAGCAATTGGATGATGTGTTGTTCGAATCAGAACATGAAAGTTTTAACGAGTGAAGGTAAACACTGAAGAAAACTCAGTCCAGCCCTTAGTGGCCATATGGACAGTCATCTATAGGACACTCAAATAATTTACACCATTAAATACTTAAATTTAAAGTATTGGAGGATGTCCTTTGGTTATAATCATCATTGGAGAAGGCCTGGTTTCTCTTTGACCCATCTTCAGTTCTGTTGAATGTTACTGATGGTACTTATCTCCTAGTTGGGGAGCTGTTGTTCTCCTATGTTGTCATTGAGGGGTAGTGACATTTGTTGGCAGGTTGAGGTAGCTACCAGGTAGCCAAATAACAGTTTAGTCAAGCATTGTTTAGCAATCACTTTAATGTAAATTATTGCTTTGAGAAGGTCTTCTGTATGTAGTTGCATGAATATTTTAATGGTCATTCTGGGCTAGATTGAGAATTCTCTAGTGGCTGATTTTTCTTTATACATAGTTTGGTGGACACAACTTGAAAAAATTCTCACTACATTGGAGATGTGAAGGTTGAACTGATCATGCTCAAATTTGGAGATGTCTAGGGAGGAGCTGAATGCTTCACTAAAACCCTAACTGTGCACCCTAAGTTAGGCTGATTTCCTGGTGCCATATAAAAAAATTAAATAAAAAATTAAATATTTTGTTTTCCTCTTTGTATCGCAAAACATTGTTTTATGATGTTGGGGGAGGGGATTTTTTTTATAATTTTAGTCTCATTATAGTAAGGTGAAGAAATATTGATGACATCATATTCTGAGGAACAGTTTTCAAGGTAACTATTTGTAATAGATGACTTCTTGTCACTAGGATCTTTCAGGTCTATAAAAGTCCTTGAAATTTGGTATGGCATCAGTCAGTGGATGGTAATGCACCAGGCATGGTGCCAGTCTTTTTACTAAGGCCCAAGAAAGAAACTGAGGCTTTCAGGATTATTTTCAAAATGGCAAACAGTTGCCAGAAGTCCACATAAAATTGGTGTAGTTTGAATATTACAGAGCGCAATCAGTCTCAACAGGCAATTGGTTCACCAGCTGTAATTGCCTGGGGGTGATAAGAGCAGTTTAGGGATAAGAGAGTAACCAAATTGGCATACTCAGGAGCTTTACATCTAACACAGGAATTCAGTACTGTAATAATAAATAGTTTATGGCAATGAATAATTTCCATGAATTTTGTGATATGTTGAGTGTTTTTTTTTTAGTTTTTCTAATGGTCTGGATTTTAATATGTAATCTTACTGCAAGTTTTCCATAACTTTTTATTTAATAATATAATAGATGCATGTACAATACAGTATATGAAAATGCTTAACTAGCACAAATCATCATAGTAGAGGAAAGTTTAAGGCATAAGTACCACATCCTGTTCTTGGCATTATTATTACTGATTAGTCTCTGACAAGTAGTTAACCCAAAACATAAGCTGATTGAGTATGATGATTACGGCAGGTACATGAAGCTGATGCGTGCCTTGTGCTGGCTAATAAGTACTGTCAAGATCCTGATGCTGAGGATGCTGCCAATATTATGCGTGTTATCTCCATCAAGAATTACTCAGATGATATTAGAGTTATTATTCAGCTAATGCAATATCACAATAAGGTTAGTACAGTAGATGATTTATTACCATTTTAAAATGCTTGGAGGGATCTCTGACTATGCATTCAGATGTCAGATTGATTCATGCATCTACATGGTTATATTAGTCAGAATACATTTTTTTGTTTTCAGTGAAAATAATGAAAACATAAATAAAATCTATATATTACTATAAGTTTGTTTTGCACGCTAACTCTTCAGGGAGGGCTCCTGTGGTGGCTCCTTGGTACTTGCTACCTAGCAAGCTTCACCCAGTTCAATCCATGCTAGGCCCTTGTGAAACAAATGTTACCAGGGTCCAGAGGCCAAATCCATCACCCTTTAACATACACAATTTTGGGTAAAAATTTTCATATAGTGGTTTTATGTTTATTTAATATAGTCTTGGCTACTGCAGTCAAACGTTGGAAATGTGATAGCTGAGACATGGATGTTTGTGTAAGGCCTGATGTCAAGAGCTGAGAGCTCAAAGGAGTACGAGAATGTAGAGCTATAACGTGGATGGGATCGGAGCGCTCAAATGCAGGGTGAGAGCAGGTAGCTCGAGTACATCTGGTATCAACTCTCTGCTCTGTAAAGAAGGTGTAGCGTCTTCTGAGAGTTGAAACTAGTGTCATTTAGTGTTACATTGTTGGAGAAGATCTGCAGTATATCCAGAGTGTTTGTCACTGAACCACTATAGGAGTTTGACTAATGCTGCCGATTGACTAATTGATGAAGCCACCCAAGAGGAGGCACAGGCATGAATAGCTGCCACATACTTATTTGACTTCTATCCATGCTTCACTTGACCATGTAATTACCTAAGTGTTGGACACAGGTTGCTGGCAGCAAGTTTGATAATCATATTGCCTGCTAGAAAACTTGCTGGTTATTTTCAGCTGTCTTAACTAATTCCTGAAAACCTTGGGAACAGTATCAGTTGTAATTAGTGCACATAGGTTTATTGGAGAACCTTTAAGTGTTTATTATAGAATTTCTTGGAATGTGGCATTCTTAGGGAATTCTTAGGTGGAATTAACAGGAACATATCATTGGATGCCATGGAACTTGTGAGAACTTGGAGCAACTATATTACTTATAACTCTTGAATGGCAGTTATCTTCATACTATTTATTAGATTAATAAATGTTGTTACAGGAGCCACCAAAAAGGTAAACATTTACTGGGTAATGTGGTTATCATCATAAATCGATTTAAACAACTATTATCTGGGTTTTACATGTATGATGCAAATATGGATATAATAACTCACCCTGGATATAATGGAGTTTACCATGACCCATTAAGAAAAACCTGCTATCATTTCATGATTACGTGTACTAGGAGTAGCCTGCCATCATGTGTGTGTTCTTGAGGTTGAAGGTTTCAGGAATTCCTCTTTGTTAATTTGGTCGATTCCTGATATTATTTTGTAAGTGGTGATTATATCACCTCTTTCTTTTATCATCTAGCTTTGGCATATTTAACGTTTCTAGCCTCTCCTCATAACTCTTGTTTTTCAGTTCTGGAAGCTGTTTTGTAACATGCTTATGCACCTTTTCCAGTTTACTGATGTGCTTCTTGAGATAAGGGCACCATACAACTACATATTCCAGTTTTGGTAACACAAGTCATGAACAGTTTCTTTACTATTTCACCATCTATATAATTAAAGGCGATTCTGAAGTTGGAAAACACAGCATATGTTCCTCGCACAATGTTCTTTGTGTGGTCCTCTTTTGATAGTCTATTATCCAGCAACACCCCTAGATCTCTCTGCCTTTGTTATAGTTCTATAATTCCTTTCCAAACAATTTGTAGGTAGTATGTAGTCTATTTTCACCTATTCCACATACCATAACATGGCATTTATTCACATTGAATTCTATTTGGCACATGGTGCTCCAAGCACTTATTTTATCCAGGTCAGTTTGAATGGCATGACAATTGTCTATGTCTCCTATCTCTCTTAGTATCTTAGCATCATCAGCAAACATGTTTATATAATTCTGTATTCCTTCTGGTAGATCATTTATGGAGACGATGAACATTACTGGTGCAAGAACTGAACCCTGTGGTACTCTTCTAGTAACATTAGCATTGAATATAATGAAACATCTCTCTCTAGTGTGTCTTTGGTGGCTCCTTGGGAACCTCCATTGTCAATTCAGAGGCTTCAGTTTACCATCTCCGTGGCTATATGACTGAGGTGTCAAGGTTGGTGAACTAGGAGGAAGATGAGAAGTCCCCTCATAGTGTGCAGGTGGAACTAATCAGAAAATTGTTTCACTACCACATGATCGGTGAATCTTGTGCCTTTGCTGTCCCATTTTCGATGATATGCTTACCATAGTGTTTATATGTTTTTATTCAGCCATCTTTCTGCTGGCCTTTTCTTGCTTAGTGTGATCTAAGATTCCATGCTTCTTGTGTCTCTTTAGAGGAGAAGTCAGGTTTTTTCCTATGAACCTGGGTAAGCTTATATATATATATGACTCGCAGGGCCCTGAGGTGGATTGAATTGGGTAAGCTTGCCAGGTTGGAAGCACCAAGGAGCCACCAAGGCCCAACCAGAAAGATGCATTTCATTACATGTCATATTTTTATTTTTTTCAGGCCTATCTTTTAAACATTCCCTCTTGGGACTGGAAACGTGGTGATGATGTTATCTGCTTAGCAGAGCTCAAATTAGGCTTCATTGCACAGTCATGTCTAGCTCCAGGATTTTCTACAATGATGGCCAACCTTTTTGCCATGAGATCCTATAAAACTGTAAGTAATCATTAAGATATTTGTGTTCATATTATTAACAAAAAATCATAATTGTAAGTGTATACCTCTGTCTGATTTTGTTAAAATCTAAAAATATTGCAGGAGGTAAAGCAGTATTTGTGTATGTATAATATTTTGGGGTTGTAGGAAATGTAATAGTGCCAAATCAGGTCACTATGGCAGTACAGTACAGTGTGCTGTCATAAAGCAGACAGTTGTGCTGTCATAAAGCAGACAGTTGTGCTGTCATAAAGCAGACAGTTGTGCTGTCATACAGCAGACAGTTGTGCTGTCGTAAAGCAGATAGTTGTGCTGTCATAAAGCAGACAGTTGTGCTGTCATAAAGCAGACAGTGTGTTGCAAGGAATGAAGCACAGTGCTTAAAGACTGCATACTGTATGCAGTCTTTAAGCATATGTGCATCATTGGAAAAATTAGGACACCTTATTTAGCGTGACTCGGCTTCATTGCATTGCTGAATGTTATATCAAAGGTCTAATATTTTGTTGGTAATTATTCAGTTAATAAGAGAATCAGTATCATCAAAATATATTATTTTGAATGATTTTATTGAATTATCATCAATATTAGTTTATTAACTGTTTAATTCCACTAAGAAAATAGAAGATAGATAGGTACATACAAAATTATACTGCCTTGCCCCAAGGTAAGTAAAGTGGGTGCTTATTCTGTATGATTTTATTACACAACTTTACTGTGACATTTGAGGTTTTTGAATATTAATATAATATATTTTGGTATTTTTTATAATAGTAATGTGTATATTTTGTTATTACTTATGCAATTAATATAGCTTTTAAATGGAAGAATGTGAATATGAATGGATAGTTTGACGTGAATGCATATTTAGATATGAACTGCTAAGAGATTGAGGTTAAGTGTAACAATCAAAGGTAAGATTTCCTCTAACTGGCTTTTGAGCTGGTTACATGGTTAGTCATTGGAAGGGGGAAAAAATAGGGTCATGTATTTAAGTATAATAGTTAAGAGAGTTGTTGAAATTTAAAAATATTTAAATTTAATTTAATTTAAATTTAAAAAACAATTGAGTTTTAAAAAACAAACAAGCATAATGTTAAAGAATTTTGTGGAATTAAATGTATTACCTTTTTCAGATTTATCATTGTATCATGTTGCTAAAAAAAAAAAAAAGATATATTCACTGCACCTTTGAAAATCTGAATCATATAATTTCAAAACAGATCTGAATTTCCGAATAATTTCCCTCTTTTAGCCATTTTTTTTTTTTTACCAAATTTTCCGGATTTTTCTTATATGAAATAATATAGCATATGATTCAGCATATTCAGACATATGAATAATATATAAAGATTTCTGGAGAGGACAAATATGGTCTGGCTGTAGCTAGCTATAATGAGAAAGCTCCACACACACACACACACACCAGCGATACTAAGATGCAAGAAACAACTACACGTCAGTAAGGAGAGAGGCAGAGAGGAACTTTGAGAATGGTATAGCAGACAAATGTAAATCAGATCCAGGCCTTTTCTATAAATTCATTAAAAGCAAGCTGCAGGTAAAGGATAATATTCAGAACTTAAAAATGGGGGACAAATACATGAAAAATTCAAAGGAAATGTGTGAAACATTAAACGAAAAGTTCCAAAGTGTGTTTGTACAAAATGAGATCGTCAGGGAACCAGACACAATAAGAATTCCAGAGAACAACATAGAGCACATAGAGGTGTCTAGAGTTAAAGTGGAAGAAATGCTCAAGGAGCTAAGTAAGAACAAAGCAGTTGGTCCAAATGGAGTTTCACCATGGGTTCTGAGAGAATGTGCACCTGAGCTCAGCATACCACTTCAGCTGATTTTTCAGACTTCACTGTGTACAGGAGTTGTACCAGATGTGTGGAAAATGGCTAACATAGTTCCAGTCTACAAAAGTGGCAGCAGCGAAGACCCCCCCTCAATTATAGACCTGTATCATTGACAAGTGTAATAGTCAAAATATTGAAAAAATAATTAAAACTAAATGGATAGAACACCTGGAGAGAAACGATATAATATCAGACAGATGGTATGGTTTTCGATCTGGTAGATTCTGTGTATCAAATTTACTTAGTTTCTATGATCGAACCACAGAGATTTTACAGGAAAGGGATGGTTGGGTTGACTGCATCTATCTGGACCTTAAAAAGCTTTCGACAGAGTTCCATATCAGAGGTTGTTCTAGAAACTGGAGTACATTGGAGGGGTGGCAGGTAAGCTGCTAACATGGATGAAAAATTTTCTGACTGATAGAAAAATGAGGGCAGTAATAAGAGGAAGTGTATCGGACTGGAGAAATGTCACAAGCGGAGTACCACAGGGTTCAGTTCTTGCACCGGTAATGTTCATTGTCTACATAAATAATGTAACAGATGGAATACCGAATTATATGAACATGTTTGCTGATGATGCTAGGATAATAGGAAGGATAAGTAACTTAGATGATTGTAATGCCCTTCAAGAAGACCTGGACAAAATAAGTATTTGGAGCACCACTTGGCAAATTGGAATTGAATATAAATAAATGCCATGTTATGGAATGTAGAATAGGAAAACATAGACCCTACACAAACTGTAAATTTTTTGGAAAATCATTAAAGATTTCTGATAAAGAAAGAGATCTAGGGGGTGGTTCTGGATAAAAAAAAAAACTATCACCTGAGGACCATATAAAGAACGTTGTGTGAGGAGCCTATGCCATGCTTTCTAACTTCAGAATTGCTTTTAACCCTTCAACTGCTCAACTTCCAAATATGACATCCCCCCAGTGCGCATGAAATAAATTCTCTGGAAAAAATTATTTTTATTTTTGAAAGTGTCAAAAACCCTTCCCTGAGTACGGGTATGATAACTGAAAGTCGAAATTGTACTTACTTTGGCTGCTATGGGGTCTGTAAGTTGGTGTGTGATGTCATCATTTCCCATGTGCCCGTGTCGTTAGCTCCCAGGGCCAGTAGGGCACCTGAGGCACGGATGCGCACGCTGCTGCGAATATATTTTTGTTTATTTTTTGTGCACAGTTCCAAATACATTTTCTTTGTTTTTATGTGCTAATCCTATGTATAATAAACACGTACACTATATTATGGCAGTAGAACATCTGAACTGCCTGTAGACACTGTTATGTGCATCACAAAAATGTTCACTTATCCTGCACATATTTCCAATGTATCATGGTAATATATTTATATTTACAGTCTATATACACACTATAGAGTATCACACACTATATACACACACCATAAACACACTCAATACTCCGCGAGTGTGTGATATGCAGCAAAACAGCCAACTGGGCAGAGTGGCACCTTGCACTCCACGCACCAGGTACTGATGCATCTTTGCTTTTGTTTTCTGCGGGTAGTGTTCCTGCATACTATACACGCATGTTTACCCTTGTCCCGTGATGCAGTTCCTGGCATATATTCGAGCATGTGTACTCCGAAGTTCTCATTACCCCTCAGTCTGTCTGGAGCTGCGTGTGGCATTGGTTCTTGCACCCCGCCACACGCGGAGTGTTTCATCATCATGCTGAGTGCTAGAAACACGTACATTTCGTCAACTGTCGTGTCCTTCCATCGCCTGAGGCATGAGGCAGGTAAAATGCCGGCGTCTATGAGGCTGTATGCGAACCTGTTTGTCTCTGTCACAAGATGCGTCATGAATTCATTGTTGAAATACGCCTTGAAATATTCCATTTCTGCCTATCATCACCGGTATATGGGAATAATGATGCGACACCAAAATCGCTAGCATTAAACGTTGATATGTGAGGGACAAATGTGGTGCAATCCTCCCACACAAGTACACCCGGACGTTTGGTGTTGGCGCCAACACTACGGCCAACACCACCACGAGCACCAAATCCACAGCCAACACCACCACGAGCACCAAAACCACGGCTACTTCGTCTGCTGCTATAGCTGCGTGAGGGTATGCTAGGCGATGAGGCAGATTTATGTACCGTAGGCCTACCACGAATACCTGATGTTGAGGGGCCGCTGTCGTCATTGTCACGTTGCAGTGAGACACGCTGCCGCCTGCCGCAATGTGTTGCTGAGGCAGCAAAACCCCGCCTGGTAACACCCTCGCTGCTTGTACTCGGGTCGCCCACACTGCTTGTATCGGAGCCTATGTCACTGAAGCCCGAGAAGGATTCATCGTATGTACTGTCACTAAATAACTTGCGTCTGGGGACATACATGGTGGTGGTGGTGATAACAATGTTGACCTAGGGCGGCGAGGCAGGCCGGGCAAGGCGCGTGTACCATACACGCTAGCCACATCGTCCACCTCAGTCTCTCCCTCACTCGTATCAGACCTCTGTGTAAGGTCTTTCTCTGGATCATAGTCTAGATCATCATCCATAGCATGGTCATCATACAAAATGTTGCATATCTCCTCCTCAGAGAGTCGTTTTCCATGACCACAAGTCACCGTGGAGCGGGAGCTCGTAGACGATGCGTCAGACATGGTTACTGCTTTGAAACCGAGGCTCCCCACGGCCACAGGGCATGCTGGGAATTTTTTTCAAGATGGCGGACGATTACTGGGGCCCCAAGGCATCCATTTCGTACCCGGGTCACTGTGCTCCTGTTTTGAGTGGAACATGAAAAATACAAATACCCGGGGACGCGTTGCGCAAACCAGACGCGTGCCTGCAGGTGTGTTGTGCAGTTCAGGGGTTAAATACATAGATGGCGAAATACTAAAAAAAAAATTGTTCACCATTTTTTTTTAGGCCAAAGCTAGAATATGCAGCAGTTGTATGGTGCCCATATCTTAACACTTTCCCTATCTTGTGACACATAATGCATCACCAATTTTTCTGCCGAGTCCTATCTTGGACATCATTTGCGTCCAACATTAAAATATTTGTATAAAATTCAATTTTTACACGATCGACTTTGGGGTAGTTTAAAAATGAGCACCTTTAAATTGTGCACAATTTGATACCAAAATGA